GTTTGCAATTTTAAAAAAATTATAACTTTATTAGTATTTGTACAGAAACAATCTATAAAAAGTATTAGAAAGCTTAATATACCTAGTTTTAAGTAAATTTACAAGCTTACAAAATTGAATTTCATAAGATGTTGATAGAAGAGGACAATTATGCGCGGCTAACTTTCTGCCATCAGTTCAATGAAAAACTTGGCAATGACGATGCATATGTGAATAGTTTAATGTTTTCTAATGAAGCAACATTTCACATTAGTGGCAAGGTCAACAGGCATAACTGTCGAATTTAAGGAACTTAAAACTCAAAATTCGACAGTTATGCCTGTTGACCAAAACTGTATTACTAATGATGGTGGACATGTGGAAACATAATAATATACAATAAAACAATAAAAAAATATAGATTGTTTGTTTGTAAATTATGTATTGGAAATAAAAAAGTATAGATTTTTTTATTTCCAATACATAATTTTTCTATCACAAATACTAATAAAGTTATGAATTGTACACGGACTTTATGGACACTGTGTAATAACTTATATTACATTGTTTTATATATTATATTATTCTTTATTAATTTTATTTTTAATATAATAGCCGGTAATTTCCACAAGTGACAGTTAATTAAAGTTGCTGAATATTTAAAAATTAAGTAAATAGTATTCGCGAATTTAGTTGCCTTACAGTCCTTAATTTACAAACTTACAATATTATAAATTGTCTACTTGAACATAACTTATTAATAGGACTTTATACCGGTGTATTGATTACCGACACAAAGATGAGTTCAGAATCAGAAAAAACAAAATTCTTTATCTTATCACCTGTAGTAATTTTTCCTGTACACATATCAAACGTGTATACAGGAAAAATTACTACAGGTGATATAATAAAGAATTTCAACTTTATTTTAAAACAATTTAAGCGTTACATACGTGCAGAAAACCGAAAAAGTCCACGTGGCCAAACCATCCTGGCGAGGCGCGAACCCACGACCGAATTCTTGGTGTTCAGGGAACGGAACCACTTGGCACAGGTGAGCCGTCCGTTTTTAGACAAAATTTTTTCTAATAGACGTGTTCTTAAATTTACATTTTTATTAAAATATATTTAATTCATCAAATATTTTCATCGGATTGAAATAATATTTGGCATATTACGTTGGAGAATTATATTTTTTATTGAAGCACAACAATAATAATATCGGCCTAACACAGTGTTTCTCAACAGGGGCGATATCGCTCCCATGTGGGCGTTTTTCCATGTTGAGGGGGCGATTAGTAACAATTTATATTTTGGGGGACGAAACACAATTTTCTGGGCGATATAGTAAAGCATTATTTTAAGAATAATTAGATATTTTATTCGTTATATCGTACAATAATTAAACGAATAGCATTATACTAGTCACTAGTCTATTCAATACAGTACGAATTTGGCGTTAGTCTTGGCCCTCGGCATCGGAATTTTGTAGTGAAGGGGACGATACTACGTAACGGTTTTATTGAAGGGGGCGATACTACGTTGAAGGGGACAACGATTCGTTAGAGGTTGAGAAACACTGGTCTAACGTAATTTCAAGGTTTTATTATTATTATTATTATTATTTAATTTGCCAATTGAAAATTTTATCGTATTTAAAACTAGAGAAAATAAAATGATTAATAATGTTTACAATATATAAAAATTTTTTATTGAAGTATACTACCATAGGTTAATAAAGTTCACGTCACTTTATGAGTACGATGCTCAGTCATTTAAGATAACGTAAAGGCACTTAATTTAATTATACATTAAACTTGATACATGTTAACTATAGAAGTTCGATTCGCAAAAAATATTGATATTTTTGTATCGAAATGCAACTTATTTATATGATAAAACGTAGGTTACGTAAGTGAACATGACACAAATTATTACGGGGAAAATTGCAGGTGATATATAAATATCTTTAATATAGTACGTCAACCGTAACTAATTTATACCAGTAATGCTGTAGGTTCTCTACAACAATAAAGTAACTTGTTATACTTTTTAGTTAAATTAGCTGCAAACTTTTAATTGCGATAAACAAAGAATTAAAATTGCAATGTGTAATGAGGAAATGTCTTTCGATATCTGAAAAGATGTATTTAATGAAAGCAGAGAAAGCTATTTATTATTAGTAAATGTATAACATATAACAGTAAATTATCAATATAACATATTTTAAAGTAGATTGTATATAGGCCTATTCTTAATTAAATTATTACAAAATAATACTAAATTTTCTTTTTGTAATTTATAACGTAAAGATGAGAGAAGTGAAAACAAAAATACGAATAATAATAATTATTATTAATCCTTCGTTAATTCTCCAATTAATTATTATTAATCCGTTTATTTTTTTGTTTTCACTCTCTTCATCTTTTGTATTTTTTTTAATACACGTGAAATAATTAAGTTAGAGATGACAGATAATTATATTTTCTATTTAGTAGGCTATTTATTTAATGTATGAACTTCCGGTCCTGCAGTTATTAAAAGGGCCTTTTTTCTTCCATCAAAATAATGTCTTAAATGTGTCTTATTTGCAAATTTTTGTCAGTTTCACTAATTTGTATAATACGGTATATTCTATCAAATTATAACAATTTTATTTTTAATTAAAATACTAATAAATTAGTACAGGGCAATACGTAAAAATGGCTGAAATTACAACGATACTTTTTGAAAATATTTGGACACTGCTTACCGGGCAAGCAACTCCAGAAATTTCTTACGGGCAGTAAATTCCTGATATGTAAATTCCGGTCCTCATCAGTGTAGGCTCGCCGAATCCATGACAGTTAGGAGTAAACAGGCCTCTCTTACTGCTCACTCAGAGAAAAAAAAGCCAAAAACAAAAAAGTATTGCATTGATAATCTGAAGTGAAAATTAAAGTAAATTATTTGTAATCAATTTAATTATTCTTTTAAAAAATGCTACTAAAGTAAACAAAAATATTTTAATATTTGCAACACACTTTACAAACATTTACAAACATTTACAAGTACAAAAAAAAATAATTAATTATATTATCATAAATAAATATCTTTACGCTTATTGATTCTATAAGAAAAATATAATTTTAAAGAGCGTTTTCATCACTTATTATAATTTTTCATCGAAGATGTTAATATATTAATATTCTTGTATAATATAATAATAATAATAATAATTTCAAATTATAAAGTTAAAATTAAAATGTGTTTTTTACGTTATATGTAGGCTTATGTAGGCCTACTTTATATAATGTTGAGCGCATATATAATATATGTATGTGTGTTACAGGTAATTGATAATATAATTTTATTAAACCTAGTTAAAAATAATTTTAAAAATTTAAATTTGTTAAAACTTTTGCCACTAAAAACATGATAAATCATCTGGAAAAATGTCATTATGAAAATTTTTTTAAACAATAAACTTAAAAGATGAAAAGAGAAAGCTCTGGAACGAAAGAAACTGGATGTTCATCAGTAACAACGGAAAATCATATCCAAAGACATGCATTGTTGTCATCCTTATTAGATCCAGAATTCAAAATTAAATTTCAAAAAAAGATGGTAGAGGAAATACAATCGATAGCTTAGATGATGTTGATAATTCAAAATCTTAAGAAGAATTAAATTCTGAAGCTTCTACTTCTGGAGACGATCAAGATGGAAGATGATCTCCGAGTTTTTCTAATTTATTTGATGAATTAGCTTCTGGTGAACGAAAGAATGAATAAGAGCATGTTTTTAAAAAGGAAGAAAAAACGAAACAAACGAACAAACGTTTCGATCAAGAATTAGAAAAATATTTACATTTACCTCTTATACAAAGACATAGCACCCATTTTTGTGGTGGGATATTTGAAAAGTATTTTTTCCTAATTTGAGCAAAATAGCTTTTGAACATTATGAAAACATTATGGATACGAGCCCAAACGGTTAGGAGTCGAAAGTTGAAATTTGGTACACAGTTAGGGTACGTTAGGAGAACGCACACTAAGAAGGGATTTTTCGAAATTCCTCCCCACGGGGGAGAGGGACAGGATTAAGGCTTAACACTTCCATCAACAATGGAAGTGTTAAGTAACAATGGAAGTTTTAAGTAACAATGGAAGTGTTACGTAACAATGGAATTGTTAAGAGAAAGCGACGTGTAAGATTTACAGGCACAGATGCAGTTTTTTCGTTTTTGTGGAAAATCAAACATATTTTTAGAACCATCTAAAAATTCTCTAATTAGTCTGGAAACAAGGGGACCCAATTCTTGCATTTTGTGAAAACGGATAATGTTGACTGTAACGTAATAATCTTTATCTTAGTTATCGTTACTTTTGCCCGAGCAACGCCGGGCCCACCTGCTAGTGTTTTTATATTAAAGTTTAAGGGTTTTAAAGTCTTTATTTGTTTTATATATTTAATGTTTAAATTTTAAATAAAACAGATAGTTTTGAATAGGTTACATTATACCTTATGATATGTATTGAAAAAAGAAATAATTTAAGTTAAAAGTTTTTTTTTAATATTTAGATTATCATGTAATAAATAAAAAATATATAACAGAAATTTATTATTTTTTATTACTAGCATTATACGTGACATGCTAACAAAAATATTAAAATGCAAAATTCGCCGATTATTAAAACCGATAAATCGGGGAAATGGCCGATACCGATTACTTACCGATTAATCGGTATATCCTTATTAGTTATCTCTTTAGCATTTTAAACAATACTTGCTCTCTAGCTTTGTAAATGTAATATTTATTCTCATCAGGACTTTGGTTTATGTAGGCCTACTGTATGTAGCCTAATAATTAATCAATTTGTAACAATGTTTATTTATTTCACAATAGTGTTATGGTGGAATGTATATTCAAATACATTCTATAGATTTTTGAGTAGTGACACAAGTTAAAGATGTAGGACACGATTATTAAGCTTATAAGCTTAATAATCGTGTCCCACATCTTTAACGGGTATATAATAGTCGCTTCTAGTAGATAGGATCAGTATTCTAAATATACCAGAGCCATGAAAGCCTTAATTGCTTCTGTTATATGCATGAATATATTTTATTTAGTTAACTGTTACTCTCAGTTGAATTCCATGTCTATTGAAGAATTAAATAGTCGTTATTGCGGTAAGTCCGAGAATTTCATCAGTATAAGAATAATTAAATTTTCTGATAATTTCTAATATAATTATTTGCTTTAAAATTACAAAAGTTCTCAGTAATTTCTGTTTATTTAACTGAATTTGTAGACACAATAAATATATAAATATAAATATATCTCGTATTTAGCTTTACACTGTAAAGACTGTTTTCGCTATTGTGTACGAGAAAATCAAGCTGAAGTTGTAAGTTTGTATTTGATATTCATATTTAATTTCTGTAAACGATTATTTAAATTAAATTGAATATTATTGAATTTGTTTAATATTATTCAAGTCTGTCGAGTTTTACAAAAACTGTGCTCAACAAGTAAAATTTTACCAAACTTTATTCGAATTAGATAATTTTATTTGCAAAAGAAGCAGCGAAAAGGTATCGTTATTTTTTCTTTATGTTATAATTATTCATTTTTATCGTTCTTGTAATTGTTACTATTTTTTTTAGGAATATTTAAAATTTTTAAACTGTTTTGTCGCAGCCTTACAAACTGCAAATAAGGATCTTCCTAACATACTACCCGTTTCTCAGGTAACGAGATTATGATTGCTGTAAAAATTTCGAATATTTAGTCTACAAAATTAATTTATTTACATTAGTAACTCGAAATTTTAACTAATTTCCTTTTCTACGTTGTTCTTACATGTTGTTCTTACTTTTGTTTTTATTTTAACCTTAGCTTGGGTCTAAGGTTAGGTTTGTTTATTTAGCATCACAGTCTGTTAACCATTACCACATTTTACTTTCCCGGTGTCATATATAACAAGGGAAAGAAGTGAGATCGTAATTTGGCCCTCCTAGTTTTTTGCATATCTCCACATTTTAACCTCCTGAATCCAAAAAAGTTAGAAAAACTGCAAAATATTTGTGTGTTATCGTCTATTTCGCTTAATATCTCAAAATGTGGTTAAGATGAAAAAACGAAATTTGGCATTGTAACTTGCATAAGTCATAATGCAAATCATGAGCATTAATGCTATTAAATTTTGGTAGTTAAAGATCGGGGAGTGGAGATAAAGAGGACGTCATGTGTCATAACTCGAGAGGAGTAGGACTTAATGAAGATTTTATTCGTTATTTACATTTTACCTATTTCTTTTCTTTTTTTTTTTATGAAACTCATCCGTACACTCAAAATTAAGTTTTCTTGCCATTTTATAGTAATTAAAAATATAAAAACTTTTTACTAAGAAAATCTGATAACAGATAACACCACATGCAATTTTAATTATTTTGTATGTACTGTAATATAAAAGTTAATTTTTTTTTATAAAAACGCATAACAGTCGGTAAAATTACGCAACTGGTTCCTAGATTTGTTTTTAAAAATAAATATTAAATAATTAAATTAATATTTACTAAAGAATTTTCTAAAATCGTTAGTAAATATTTTTACTAAAATATTAATTTTACTTAAATAAACCCCTACTCATTGCACTCAGCCGGCCAGCGCCTAATCCCGGTATGGAACACATATACAGAATGCTGAAGCAATGGCCGGCTGAATGCCATGAGTAGAGATTTATAACTTGGGGGCGTTGAAAGCGTCCCCAGTCGGTAACCTATGTAACCGAGGATAGTTATATTATATTTAAATATGATGGAAGGAAAAATCAAACCAAAGGCTCGCGTAGCGTAATTAGCAACGCATCTTCATCATGAACGGGAGTTGTGAATTCGATTCCCCCTCTGGACCGATTCCTTTCTTCCAGAATATTCTAAAAAATTATCTAGTAAATATTAATTTAATAACAATATTTGAATTTAATAAGAGATGGTGCTTACCACCTCCCTCCAATAACAAGTAATTAATTAATTCTAATCGCGGAAAAGTAGCCCGATGTAATCTAGTGGTTGTTTTGCTTCACAAATTTATAGGGTTTCGTGATGTTTGTTTATGTATATGTAAAAAAATATATAATATTTTATTATTACTAAAATATTACAAAATCTTTTTATGTTCTAATAATTTTGCTCTCAAATATAATTTTAAAAATTTAGCAACGATTCGCGTAACTTTTTTGTCTGTTATGAGATTTTATTTAAAAATAACTTTTATATCATTAATCATAATAATTAAATAAGATTGTGTGTGGAGCCATCTTTTAAGGAATTTTATATAAAAAAAACAATATAAAAAACTTTTGTAAAAAAGTTTTTTATATTGTTATTATAATTGTTATAAAATAACAAAGACTTGATTTTGAGGATAGAGATAAGTTTCATAAAAAAAAATTGCAAATGAACAGCAAGTAAAATGTTCATTAAGTACCACCCACTCGAGATACGACATGTGATCACTCTCTATTTCTCCATTCATTCGATCTTTCAGAACCAAAATTTAATTGCATCGACGCCCTTATACACAAGCTACCATGCCAAATTTCGTTGCTTGATTTTTACCCCATTCTGAGATATTAAACGAAATAGACACCAACACACACATATTCACGAAATCTTTTTGTCTGTTTTTTTGACCATTTTTTATTTAGCATGTCTTAAAACGTAAAGATTTGCAAAAAACTCGGAGGTTCAAATTTCACGCGATTTAATACTCTTCGTCGTTATGTATGTATAAATACATCTAATTACCCGATTTCAACAAAAACATTAATTAGCATAAGAATCTATTTTAATTAAAATATAAATGTTATAAACTATACGGTAATATTATTTTTAAATCGGGTAATTAAACTTTTAAGATATTCATTGGATAAAAAAGCTCAAAAAATTTTTAAAATAACAAGCATCGCTTATAATGACAGATATTCTAAATTACAATTACTCAAATTTTTACATTTCAGTATTTAAGAATATAATATTGTTCAAGTTATTTGGTTGATATTGATATAATTATATTAAATAAAAACTATATTTTTTTCAGTTATGTTTATTGAAAGAAGAAAGTAAACAGAGAAAATATATTCATTCGAAATAAATTAATTGCGGAATGAAAATCGTAATTATAATGTTAATTAAAACATATGTAATCGTTACGAGGTTTCTTAGTTATTAAAAATGTAATTTGAATGAACTCGCTGTTAAAAAAATATTCATATAGACATCAATTTCTTGTAATTAATCTTTTAACAATATAAAAATAAACATTCAGATTAAAACTTTTGAAAATTGAATCAAGAAGTTTTGTTTATTAAATATAGGCTAATATTTAATTTATAGTAATATTTATTGAATTTATAAATAAAAGAGAATAATGCTGACATTGATGCAGTGCATATTCTAACGTACCACAGGACACAAGATGTGTAGTGTAAATTTTAAATTGCTCAATGAGAATCCCATACTTGTGCAGTAATTAATTCCCCGATTTTTGGGTTTTATAAGTAGTTCTTTCATTTTTGCTAACGTTAAAATATATACCTAAATTACACAGTGTATAAATTATTTTGCTTATCAGGAAAGAGGTATGGAAAAAATGTTGGTAGGATTTACCATTTGTACTAAATATATTCAATATTATTTTTGTTCGGTAAGTATTGACATTTAGAACTACAATTCATAATGACAGCGCACTTACCATGTAAATACAGTACAACTTAATGGTATTAATTGACGTAAATGCCACTTTGGGTCATTAAGTACGATAATGCTACTTGTTCACCGATCACCCACTGTATATTAATTTATAGACCTATATATATTACAGAAATATATACATGATTCAAATATATATATATATTATATGTGTATATATACACGATTTAGGTATATATATATATATATGTAAATATTACACAAAGATTTGCACGATTAAGGTATAGCCTATATATAAATATAGTATACGAATGACTACATGTAACCTTAAAATTTTGATGTCACATNTATCAAATATATATATATATTATATGAATATATACACGATTTAGGTATATATATATATATATGTAAATATTACACAAAGATTTGCACGATTAAGGTATAGCCTATATATAAATATAGTATACGAATGACTACATGTAACCTTAAAATTTTGATGTCACATGTTACCTAGATTTATATCCATGTATAATTTTAATTAATTATTTGTTTACGACGCTTCATTTGATATGTCAATTATGCCAATAGAGAGAAATAAACCCGTGTTGTAAATATTTAACTCGTCACTCTACAATAGCTCGTCCGTTGCTGACGATACGGATTTAAACACCCTCTATGTTTTTTTTTTTTTTCTTTTTTTGAAAAATCACTCCTCTTTCTAAATTTAGAAGAGATTTTTGAAGATAAGGGAGTTTTGTGAGAATTCTACTGTCTCATTGAATTATGTTTCTAAAATTTTGTATTTAATTAATTAAATTAATAAACGAAAACGTTCTACCAAAAAGAGAAACGCTGTGTCACCCTTCCGACACAAGGGAAGTTGAATTTCCTTTCCCATACCCCTTATTTCAAAATTTTAGGCACAACACTGAATGTTTGCCCCCTCTGAACATCCCCACTCATCCTGTTGACATGTGGTACTCATTCTTCATTCTAATTGGGTGAAGATGTTAGAATATAGCGGATCATTTCCTTTGATCCGGGAGAAAGTTCGTCGGAGATTTTCCAAGAAAGAAGCGCTACTCTGTGCCCAGATTCCTGAGAGTTTGTCAGAGATCTCTAAAGAATACAGACTACTCCAGAGACTGTCTATCGTTAGCAGAGTTCATTCAAGCGCCTCGAAAGGACCAAATCTACCTCCCCAACGATTCTTCGAAGCCAACACCGCCGAACCTTCCTCGCGAAGGGTTATTGTCAGATATCCCGAGAAAGTCGTCTTCTGTCCACAACAACATTCTTCTGGTGAAACTAATGATACACCTTCAAATAAGACGAGGTAGTATATATGATATAAGAATTCATGTAAACTCTCTCTCGCGAATAAGGTCTAAAATCGACTATTTTGTAATCTTATTTTTGATTTATTTTAATAAATGTTTTTGTTATAATTTTAATATGGTTAATATTGCCTTATCTTTGTCTCGAATCCGAGCCTACATCCACTCCATTTACTCGCGACCCTCACACTAGAAATTACTCTCAAAAGAATGCGAGCGTACCTAACGCTATAACTAGGCTGGTGTCAGGAAAAACAACTTGCAGGGGTTTCTCACGGACTTCTGCTCTTCATCAAGGACTAAGGAAGCCATCCTTCGACTCTGCAGTCCAACCGCAACCGGATAAGTAGAAGAGAGACTTATCCAGACTCTCTACCTATGGCTAGCCTCTCACATTTTGTTTTGTACTTTTTCATTAATTACAAGATGATAATAATCGTAAAAACAAAATTTACTTCGAAATATTTTATAGATAGTTCGTCTGCAATTTGAAAAAATTGCAGACTACAGAGTTATTACAGACTATTATAGACTACAGACTATGCCCACTGTAAAATATTTCTGTAAACATTGTAAGTCATCTATTATATTTAATTTTTTAAAAAATGTTTTAATTGTAAATTTACAACAAATTTATACTTGATAGACTCAGGAGGGATCGACAGAAAAGTTTGGATCCGAAATGCATTTAAATAAAACATATGGAAATTAAAATTGCTTCTGGGTAATTCTTGAACTCTGGTGAACAGTCAGATTGGAAGGACATAACAATTTTTGTTTTTTAGTCCACAAACCCATTTTAAGTGGTTAGATAAGAAACATTTTGTATATATCAAATTATTGGTATTCCACTGATTACAACAAAGCGAATTGCCTTCAAATAAATGAACAAAACAGCTAAATTCACATATTTTTTTTCTCTATGAGCAATACTTTTAATTATGCTTAGGAATTTCAAGCTAACTATTCAATTAATTTTATATTTAATTAATAATACTTGTAAAAGTGGATATCATACATATCTACGTGCCGTTCAGTAACTTTACGCTGAAATAATAGTACTGTATATCGTTTAATAAGCCTTAATATTGTTTTGTATATATTTATACATAATTTTGCTATATGCATTTATATAATAATAGAAGATTCAATGCTACATTATCTCCTATAAAAACTAGTGTAAGTAGGTCGAAAAATAAAACTCAGAGGAAACATCAAAATAAAGAAAACTTTGAATGTTGTGGCATAAGCAAATTGAAAGCAGCTTTTGAGAGTAAGACTCGACATGTGAATAAAGTGTGTTACACAGATCAGAATTGCAGGAAGTTTTGGATGAAACAATATCATCATGATGATAAATCAGGAAAACAAACATCGTTAGCCATATGTTAGCGGTATTCTAGTCATTATTCCTGATTTGGCACCCTTACTGAGAGACCATTAGATAAATAATCGTTCTTGTTTCATTATGTGCTTGATTCTAACAAAAAGTTTTCTTTGACCAATGGAAGCAACAGTCAACGCTCACAATACAAGATACTCAAGGCAATATAATAAATTGTATATGTAAACTCTCTCAGTAAAACTAGAAATTGTAGATTGATATCTTTAACTAATTAGTTTGTTGAATTTATCCTAATGTTAATTTAGTAATTTCTTCATTTACTCATTCGTTATGATAATCTCGTATAATAAATATAGTTTTATACAGTATTCTAAACTATCTAAGTACTGCCTAACTCCATCGTCGGTCCACGTTAACGCAACACTTAACACTCGAAAGAAACCCTCCTAAGTTCCGGTTAAAAGTTCATTTAAAATCTTCATCCACTCGGAAGATTAAAGGCAAAATTTAACTCTCTTAGTTCGCAAATATAACTAAGTGATATCAGAACTGACGAATAAGGAACGATTTCACAGATCTTTCCCGAAATCATCATTCAATTTATCATCCTGATAGTGAGCGAGTTAGACCGGAACGGACCTCGATTTCACATTTGGTATCATCAAAATGGGGTCGAAACTCCTTGTTTTCACACAATGCTAATTTTTTCCATGTAAATGAAAATTAATTTACGTCACTATTGTTGTAATCTGCTGTTATTTTAAGGAACAACAGTACTGTTTTATTTAATTCACAAAAAATACAGACAGAAAGAATTATGTTAACTGGCAAGTAATTTAGCGATAGAATGTTTACAAACACAACTTAAAATTACGCGATTTTTACCGCATAAATTTGTGCTGAAGAAATTTAATTGTAGCTTCGAGTGTGCAGTGAGATAAAAAAAGGATGAAAAACACTGCTCTAGAGTAGTGGTTCCCAACCAACGGATCCTTTGGGGCTCGGCGGTCGCACGAGGAAAATAAAAAGTAAATAAATAAACAAATAAATAAAAATTGAATAAAATTAAAGAATAATAAACAATTTGCCAAGTTTAATTTCGTATTGCTGCCTTTCTCAACTACATATCTCTGTGGAGCAAAATTCTGTGCCTATACAGTACTAAAACAAAATACAGAAACCTCTTAAATGCAGAACCAGACATTCGACTGCAATTATCATCAATTGAATCTAAAATAAGAAAACTGTGCAAAAGATGCAACCATAGGTGATTAAACGTTTAACGTGATTTTATGTTATGTCTTGATTTAGGCATATTCCTAGGCTCCCCGCAACACTACTCCTAAACACCATTAACTTGTAAGACATAAGGTAGGCTTAATAGAAACTGATTCTAAAAAGGGCTCCGCGAGTCAAAAAGGTTGGGAACCGCTGCTCTAGAGTTTAGTTCTGCCAGACATGCTAATGTTAAATTTGCAAATTTCTTCATTAATATCTCCATGACCATAAAACCGATTTGGATAAAATTTAAAATAGTTAGTGTTTACGTAATCAATATGGACGTCTTGAATTAAAAAAGAAAATTCGTTCGATCGTTTCCGACTTACGCGATCATCATTTTGTCTTCTATCAATAGATTGACAACGCGAAAGAATAGTGGCATCATGCTACCAAACCATCTAAAGGAATCCGCATATATTTAATAGCTATTTCGAGAGCTGATCGTTCCTCATTCACCTTTTCACTTAAAAATATTGAATATTTATACAACAATATCCCATTTTTTAAAAAATTTTGTCATATTATTGGTCAATCAGTAATCATGTGATATGACGAACTGCAGACTATTGCATGCTGTCAGATGAATATAGAATTATCATGAAAATTGATGACTTAAAAATACTTGAAATTGCATACAAACTGGTTGAATCAGGTTGAAAAAGTAAAATTGAGCAAAAAAATCCAAATAAAGGAAACTTTTGAAAGTTGTGGCATAAGAACATCGGAAGCAGATTTGACAGTGAGACTCAACCTGTGGATAATGTGCACATTACATAGACTACAACTACTGGACGTTTTAGATTAAACAATGTCACTTATGATAATAAATCGGGAAAACGAGCTTCGTCAAAGAAAAGTCTTTGAGTTTTTTTGTGCCGTAAAGTTCCTTTAATAATTAATATCTTTCAAAAATTTATGCGGCACACGGTTGAAAATAACTGCTCTAGAGCACGAGCGCTCTATAATAACTTGAGTTACATCTTAATGTCGGTTAACCATTTACCATGTTGCTTATTTATTGCAAAATATTACTTAAGTTAACTTAAAAACAAGAATTGCATATGAAATAATGAAGCAATTTTAAAATGTAAAAATAAAAACGTTGTGTAGAAGGACGGAGAATCTTTATTCGTATTTAACATACGGTAACACAGCACTTTGTGGCAACCTGAGTTACGTGGCTATTTTGCATAAGTTTCCACGATGGGAGTGTCCTAAAATGACGTTTATTCCCATTTACGTGGTCAACAGAACAGAAAGATCTCACGTTCTTAAACTAAGAGTATTGCTTAAAGCGCTTTAAACGAAATTGAACATTGTTATTATAGTTATGGGACGTTATCGTATTGTATAGGAACATCGCCTGTTGAGGGATGAGATATGTTCAAGTAAAATAAATCTCCATTAACACTCGAAAACATTCAATTTTTCTGATGTAAATAAAAATTTTATTTGTTACATTTTATTTAATTTGTTCAGAATTTAATAAGAAGAAATACGGTTATATATTTGTCCAATAATTTTATACAAAATCCGATTGCATTTTGTAAAAATCCTAACAATATCAATGTCGTTCTACGTTACTCATACATTATTCGCAACAGTCAAGGAAGAAAAGTACAGATGAACCCGATATAACAGCTTAATTATTAACGTTTTTTCCGACTTGAATCATATTTATTGACTTTCGTTTAATGTTTTTCATTCATTTTCCTGTTAAAATAGTCTATTTATTCTGTATAAATACACGAATCTTTATGCATGTGTGAATTACTGCATATTGCAAAAACTATACAGTATTAGGTGAAATTATTATTATTATTATTGCTATTCTTTGTTTACTTTTATAATCCGGGATTTAAGGAAGTATTGCGTTTCAATTTTTTTGTAACATCAGTTTTGTAACATCAGTTTTTAATTATTTAAACTTAATTTATTGTAAATATCAATCGTTGGTTTCATATTAATCTTACAGTAAATATAAAAAATTGGATTATCGGGATGAAAGAAATGTTCTTGATTATTTTTACCTGTGTAATGTTTATGATGGTGTTGGGAGGTCATCCCAACGACACACTTTTTACACATTATTGCGGTGAGTATATTTTTGTATTTTAAGTAATTATTAATAATGAAACCTCCTTGCAAAATTTCAGAGATTTTGAACAAAAACCATAGGAGTTATTATCATATTATATATAGAAGAAGACCAAAATCATGTCCCGCATACACACAAACATCCATACAAAAAAATCTCCGTATGTTTTTGATATTAATGAAAAATTTGATATTAATAATGTTTATAATTGTGATATGTCTTATAACTTAGGAATAATTTGAAGTTAAATGAAATTAATTACAAATTCATTTATATTTTTTACAGGGTATTTGGATGTTGATAAGTTCTCCTCCTGTTTGCAGAAGACATTCTCTAATCAAGTACCCACTATTAATTCATTTGATTGAAGTTCGAAAGACACGTCTTTAAAAATTCTATTTGTTAAATATAGGTTAAAACTGCGTTTTATGATTGTGTACACGCAATCGCGGTTAATATACGCTATCCAAAGGAAATACAATATTTTTTTTGTAATCAAGCCACAAAACAGGTACAAAATTTTACATTATTCCGATTTATATTTATAAAATTCATATTTAAATAAATTAAAAAGTAAATAGAATAGCTGTAATTTCATGTATTTTTCACGTTATATTACATCTTTTTCTAAAATTAAAAAAAAAGTTTTTGAAAACAAGACATTTATATTACGAATATTATAGGAAAAATTATACCAATATTATATCAAAACATCAAAATCATATTTTTGTAAGAACAAAGTTAAAAATTCGATTTAATATTTTATAATTGACATTTTATATAACCAATAAGTTTTTAAATACACAGCTTAAAAATATTTATTATTAGCAATTAAATATAAATTTATTTTTCAATTTATAATTTGTTCAGCAAATTAAAGACTTTGAAGAGTGTTTACATATGAAATTAACTTATAGACAGATGGATATATATAATAATAAATTTGCGGTGAGTCTTTTAATAACAATTGTATAGATATTGTTTAAAAACAGAGTTAAATAAATATATTTTTTAATGTAGAAACTTTATTTATATTTTACAGAAATGTTTGGAAATACCATATTAAACATCATTGCAAAAGACGGTAACTTACTTGTTTAATATAGTTGGATTATTCAATATATTTCAAATATTTTTTGTATTGCGATATTAATTTACTGTAGTAAATATAGAAAATTTTAACGAAATTTTAAGTAAGTTATAGGGCTAAATTACAATATTTATACGTTTTACATATTTTTACTTATTTATACAGAAAGCAGAAGAAATCCTCGGACTTTTTTCGAATTATATCCATTGTATCAATAAAATTTGATATATTTTTCTACATTTTTATTCCATTGTTAAATGATTTAAAATTCTAATGTAATGAAATCATTCTAAAGTATATAAATTAAATGTAAAAAATAATTTCTTAGTTTCGTGTACTCTTTCAACCGAATAACATTTTTAAAAATTGATTAAATCAATAAAACACCTTTCGTAGACGTTATTTTATTAAACTTTACAAAAGTGAAACTGCAATAACACGAAGGAATGCGCGTAGCAACGGGCAAATGCAAGACCCAACGGAATTCGCATCCTTGCCCGCCCGCAACAAGGTAGCATGTCTATCGTCCGACGTTGGCACAAGGTATACTCACTTGTCAGCCTGGGACAAGCAACAACGGCCTGGCCGAGAAGACCAAACGGGTGTCTATCTGTTTTGTTCTTTACTGTCACCTCTACCGGTCCTGACATATGCCTTTGGCTACGTTCATTCCTTCCTGATGTTGCCGTTTCATTTTTTAGGACTATTTATTTCAAATTCTTTCCACATTGATTGCTAAAATATCAAGTTTAATTGTAATATTATATTATGTAAATTGCATATTATCAAAAACACGGGAACTATATATTTGAATGTAGCTTGACATCATAACTTACTTTATTCTTTACCAAAATACGTAGGTAGATCTGAAAAACGGTTACAAGCAGCAGCATTTTAAAAGTAATTAATGTGGAGGGAATATTTTTTCCCAGAGTAGAGATAGATGACGCTAGTTGTCTTATAGCGGTTGTGTGGGTAGCTAGTGTAAGTTCGCAGAGCGTCAGAGTGATTGAAATGACAAGACGTCTAGAGAAGTGGTCTCTCTAACCTTTCTAGTTGTTTCAGCCGAGGCACTATTTTCTCTCTGTGGCGTCTTTTTCATTTCTAAGGAGTGAGGAAATTGTAGGTTTTTTCTAAAACCCTACAATTTCCTCACTCTTTAGAATTTTGTGCTTACTACATCGCGCTATCTCTTTATAGATGAAACAGAGGGCCTTGTGGTATATGACTACCACACCGTGTGATAGAACTGCCTCGGCTGAATATTCGCAGGTTAACCAATATCACCGGAAGAAAGGTTTTGTAACGTTTTGCATATGTTTTGTAACGAGCAGCCTCTAATAAAAGGTCGACTCCGACGTAAGATTGTTATTTTCCTGAGGTGTGAGAAAAGACAAAGAAAGAGAGTTTTTTATTGTAGGCTTAAATTTTTTTTTATTAAGTTTACCTACTGATTATCAATACTTCGAAATCTTCCAATATAAAAATTAACTAAGGAGATTTCATTAACTTATATAGACGTGAGATGATTTCATTGTGGATTAAAAGTTATCTGCAAGAAAAAATTGTGTTACTTGTTGAAGAATAAAAATAAATATATCTAAAATATATCTGAACTTGCCATTTTAAAACCATGTACTGTACCAGTATTTAACAACTAATATTAACGTATCATTTTAAATGGAAAAGAAATGCTGATAATTCTCAGTTAGAAAGCTCTTACAAGTTCTTTGAAATGAAAGAATATGTAATTTACAACATACAGTATTTCAAATGATTAAAATATACACAATTTAAGAACTATTTACAGTATAAACTTTCATACAATTTGTGTACGAGGCGTAAATGTATTTAATCTTTGTATTTAAATGGCATTAATATTTTAAATGTAGTTTTTATATGCGCATATGTACAGTACTGTACAGTGCACGAATAGCTTATTACAGTGGTACCTCAGGTTACGAACGCCCCAGCATACGAAATTTTCAGGATACGACATGAAATTCGAACATATTTTTGCTCCACGATACGAACAAAAACTCACCATACGACGTTACATTAGTTCGCATTTTTCATTTGTTTTTCTTACTACAGTTATTTTTTTTAATGTATTACTTGGCTTTAATTTGAGTATGTTTTTCGCGTTGGAACGAATTATTTGGTTTTACAAGTAATCGCATGGGAAAAGATGATCCACCTTACGACATTTTCATGATACGATCTCATTTTCGGAACGGATTAATTTCGTATCCTGAGGTACCACTGTAATTAAATAATTTTTGATGTTGAACTAGGATATCTTCAATTTGAAGGTTAAGACTATTTACAAAAAGTCAAAACATTTTCGAGCCTATTTTTATTTTCAGCCGGATATTTATAATTATTTAATAACTATAGGCTTAAATATCCAGCCATTCTACCTTTCGCCACGTAATACGATCATTTCTGTATACGAACGCCGGAAAACGACACGAACAGTCGTTTAAATTACAAATTTTAGTTAATTAAAGTGTTTTTAATCATGTTTTTTTAATCTTCGTCGGATAATTTATCCATGTTATCGAGCATCGTAATCGGAAATAAAATATAACCTAATTTAGGCTTATCGGAATCACCTCTTGTACTGTACCCTTCTATTCACGGATTAGCTTCGCTTTAACTCTTGACTTCGGATATCTTAGGATAAATTAACCTTTCTCGTATTTAACTTTAGATGATTTTTATAGAATAATTCTACGAAAATAAGATTTATTGGAAAACCTGTAAAATATTAGAGGTTGCGGCCGACATTTTCATCGAGAAAACGTGTACGTCGGACGTTCAGCGCCGCCTTCCTGTAAGCCTAGAAGTTTGACAATGGCGCTTGGACCGTCAAGCATGATTTTGCTGTCGGTCTAAATGCCGATGTCAAACTTCTAGGCATACAGGAAGGCGGCGCTGAACGTCCAACGTACGCGTTTTCGCGTTGAAAACTTCGGCCGCAACCTCGCTATTGTTTCCTATATTTCGCTTCCAAGTGCCAAAGAAAAACTCTTAAAAGAAACTTTGATTGTCGTCTGAATCGTCATAATTTTTAACATTTTGGATGTTTTTGTTCGTTTTTGTTAATGTTTGTGTTATTAAGTCGAGACGTAAGAAGAAGTTCGGTTCGGTCGGCCCTGGGCCACTGCCGCTCACCCAACGCTTTCGACAGAACGTTTAGTAAAATTTTTATTAAAGTTTACCATAAATTGAAAAATATACTCTTACTCCATAGTGAACTTTGATCTATCGACCCGGAAGTTTTGCCAGCACCTAAAGGCCGTGGACACGACATTTAATTTCATTAAATTTGATCGTAAGAAGCAATCTACAGTATAACCACACTCTTAAAAAATATCACAAGTTACTCAAAGATACATACGTCGTTAGCGAAAATTTATCAGGTAAGAAATGTCGACCTTATGACTCCGACAACTTGTCTCCTGTGTCCGAACATCGCCAAACGTCAACTTATCTCCTGGTGTGTTAAGGTTAGGGTTTTTTAAACCCGGGAAATATCTCGGGAAATTTTTCTTATCCAGGAAATCCCGCAAATTTCTTAAAAATTCACTTTTTTCTTATTTTGTGTTAAGATTGAGAAAACTTTGCAAATAGAAAGCATAATTAACTCACAAACTGTCAGAATACACTTGTATTTATCAATTTTAAACCTATTTATTAGTTTTTTTTAATTTTTGCTCGTTATGGCATGTCACAAATGTTCAATAATCAATATGTAGGTTATTTGTGACAGGACTCTAAAAATTCTTTACTTGTCAGAACCGTAATATCTGGAATAATTGTACTTATGCTGTCTTAATTTTTAACCATGCCCAGTATTTTCAATAACTGCGTAACGCCAGGTTGTGCAAATTAGGCAAGAATACAAACGAGTACGAAGTTTTTCTTCATAAACCTAATTATTAAAGCCAAACGAACTGCCGAATTATTGGGCTATGATGTTTCTTTTAAAGCAGTCGAGGTAGACAAATCAAGAATACTAGAGAGCGAAAGAAGTACTACAATCTCGAAAACGAACTAGAAATCTTCCAGTCCACAGGTGAAAAACACATAACCTCTGTTTTCTATTAAATGCATTAAACACGATTCCAATCACATCAATTGAATCGGAAAGGGCATTCTCGGTAGCAAGACTTTTCATTACTAAAATAAGAATTAGATTGAGTGATCGACCATCTTTGCTTTTTAAAATTTTATAAAAATTTACAATAATAATTTGTATTATGCTTTATTTAAAAAACGAAAGTTACCTTCTAAGTTACAAGTTTGATCTAAGATCATACTTTTTTAATTTTCAACTCAATTCAAAGCATTTTGTTGTATGCAGTTTCTAGCAAACTTTAATAATTTTTTCTATTTGTGAACATTTCTGCGTATTGATAATTCAAAGGTAATTTTTAATATATTTCTTACACAGCATTATTATGATTTTGGAGGTTACAGAACGTATTAAATTACTTTAAAAAATGAAAAATAATTATATCATTTGATTTCAAGATATTTTGTATATCTTAAAAATAATTAGCTTAATTTTATCACGGGATTTCTCGGAATCCCGGGAAACAGTTCACTTTTATCCCAGAATCCCGAGACAAGCAAAACACCAGAAAATGAGAAACCCTATTCACGGCCTTTACTGATTTCGAAAGTGACTTAAACTTAAAATTTGAGCTTTCTGCACTCGGTAGTTTTTCTCTAGGAACGTCTGCAGTGCGGGATGAAGAAAAAGAAGGTAAAAAGATACAGTTTACTGCCAATTTTTCACTTTACGATTGCTTACATTTCGTCAACCTCTTCATAAAAAAAGTCTGAAATTTTGCATACTATCTAACAAAAAGATTATCTTTCCAACGAGATGTTCAAACTTCCTGCAGGCCTTATTTCTGTAGGCTATATACGAGTATATTTGTTCGGTGGCTTTTTCACTTGGCACTAGTCGATTAAACAAATATTTTTCGTGTTTTTATGCAATTATCATAATATGTATGTAGCAGATGTTAAATTATTTTTTAAAAAGCATTTATTATATTTTGTTTGTTTTGACAGAACACACAATTAAAAATGATGTGTCTGTGGTACATCTGCATGGACTTCTAATTGTAGTATTCGAGAGGACGGGCAGCAAGACCAACTATTGTAAGTATGCATTTGTGTTGCTTGTATAACTTTATTGTAAAAGTCTGTAGTTTATTTAAGAAATGAATTGAACAAATGTGAATAATATTTATTTTAGAAAATTAAGTATAAAATTTTTGAATTTT